TTTATCGAGTGCAGCAGCAGTCAGTCATTGACAGTCTTCTTGTTTGCATATTCAGAAACCTACCCCCCGCCCCCTGAATTTCAATGTGTGCCGCAATGTGTGCCGCAATGCTCATTGGGCGCTTCTATGTAAACATTGAGTTTGGGGGAAGCGGGGGGTCTGGAAGGTTTCAAGATTTGTGGACAAACAATTCCCAAATTGTACTATCGCGCGAGGCCATTTTCAGTGTTCGAAAAACCACGAAAACTGTAGGACGCATTAAGGTACCCCCATAGTATGCGTAAATTTGCATAATCAACTTTAGATGCATGTATATACCTTATACGGATATTCAGACGGTACGTATGTATATGTTTCCTTGTTTAAAATGTGTTGTCATACATCTATATGTGTATATATATATATATATATATATACACACAAACACACGCGCACACACACACACACACATCTACGACGGCTTTTTGGACCATTGATTCCGGCTTAAAAAACTCCACCAGAGATTGAATGACTCATGAAACCGTAATTTCAAAATCCTGCATGCAACGAACTTACTTTAACCCTCCAACCCCCCTGCCCTAAACCCTAACCGGGTGCAACGAAGGGGTTATAGCCTATTAGTAACTAGCATACGGGCCTTGCTATTTTGAAAGCGGTGTTCGGGTATATTCTGGGCAAGATGATAAAGTTATCCAGGCGAGAAACAGATGCCAAGCCGCGACAGGTGAAACTGACAGGACAGCGCCACGAGTGGGAGTTTAGGCAGTCTGATATGTTCTATGCTTTGCAATGGTCCAATTAATAGGGCTGTGAAAAATCCATAGGGGTTGGGAAGGGTTTGTGGGGTTTTGGTTTAAGGGTTTAGGGTTTAGGTTTTGAGGAGTTTGGGGGGAGTTAATTGTACGCTGTATGATTAAGTGCTAAGCTACTGCAGTTTAGGCTAGCCGGGTATTAAGCTTTCGGGTGTGAGGGTTTAGGGCACCAGAATGTTTGGGTGGGGCGGTGGGGCAGCAGGACTCAAAGGTATTTGGGCCAAAAGGGTTTATGCCACTACAAGCGGCTACTACTGGCTGGAGTATTCGGGGCTTAGGGACCCGAAGGCACCAACAAAACACATATGAAACTCTAAACCCTAAAACGTAAACCCTAAACATATGAAACCTGAAACCCAAAACTCTGAAACGTAAACCCTAAACATATGAAACCTGAATCCCTAAACTCTAAACCCTGAACACTAAACCCTAATTGAGGTACATGAAGGAAACTTGGAGGCTCTGGGTGTGGGGTTTTAGGGCTTTAAGGGGGCGGTCATGGTTTACGTACTTGGAGGTTCATGGGACTTAGTATGCAAGTATAGCTATAAGTATCCTCATTGGGGTTATGTAAGTACATATAAGTGTAGTTACCTTAACTATAACCCTAGTTACTGAGTGCCATGAACCTCTAAGTAGGGCTCAGGGAGTTTAGCAGCACTTAATATGTATGCTAACTACAGGGGTTCCTTTACGTAAAGGGTTGCTTAAAGGGTTCCTCTGGCGGGTGTTGCGAGGGCTTAGTATAGGGGTGTAACGTCACTTCGGGTGGAATATAGCGTATTTATATGAACGGCCTCAGGTCCTAAGCTCAATACACTTTACTCAGGGTTCAGAGATTTTGTGAAGTGCTCTCCAGCGCATCCTGATAGATTAAGCGTCACCCGCACACTCTGTCGGGATCTCAGCTGAAAAGCGCCTGCCGAAGACGGCTGCGAGGAACACTACTAGTACAGGGACAGGGGCCTGAACAATTGGAATAGTGTTTGGGGCCGAGATACACGATGTATATATATATATATATAATTCCAATAGAAGGCCTGGGGAACACCATCAGTAGCTATTCAGGATTCTACATTAAGACCATACGAGGGTTCCCCTTTAAGGGTAAAGCTCTGTAAATATGACCTCCTGAAACGGCGTTCCTGTCAGTGTTCCTTTCAGGTTTACTAAGTTACTATATCGAGTTCTGTGCACTGTACCAGTTTTAGGGTTCGGTTACGGGCTCGTAGAAGGCTACCGTACTAGGGAAATGAGAGTCTCAGACGGTGGGCACTTTTGGATGTCGGTGCAAAGTTAGTTTGGGTTTACTAAGAGTAACCAAGGTACCGTGAAACAGCGAATTTTAAGGTCATACCAACCATAAACGGTAAACCCATAATTGAAGGTGCGCTAGGTATGGTTTACGGGTTCTGGAGTGCGGGGGTTAGGGTCCTAAACCCTACAACCCTACGACCCTAAAGCCTAAACCCTAAAACCTACAACCCTACAAACCTAAAGCCTAAAACCTATAGCCTCAACCCTACAACCCTAAAGCCCAAAGCCAAAACCGCACAGATCCTTTTAAAGGAACTATAAAACCCCTATAGAACCTCTCTTCTTCAAAAACCGGACCCCCAAAAGTTCAAACTTTCTAAGATAGAGCTAATATATAAGGCCAGCAAGTTTAAAGTTCCCCCGTTCACCATCTATAGAAGGCTTTTAGACTTTTAGAGGAACGGGTGGGCTTTAGACCCAGATCGCCTCATCCCACACTTTCGCACGATGGTTTAGGGCATTTCGGGCTCAAAGACTGCCGTTGTTAATAAACATGGTTCCTCTAGAAGGGCTCTACAGGGGTTTATAGTTCCTTTAAAGGGATCTATAGGGTTTAGGGTAGAGGGTGTAGGGGTTAGTTTCAGTAATAAGGCTAAACCATGTTGGAATATCTCTGCGGGATATGTGCTTCAGTCAACTTCAGTCCCAAACTTCGAAGAGCGTAGACAACAGCCTGAAACAGGCACGACTGGCTGGGCATATAGAGCCCCTAGACCTTGAACTCTAAACAGGATCATGGCACCAGTCATGCCCGCCGCGACAGTGGAGGTCAGTGCTTATGCGATGGTCACAGATCTCGCGGATTGCTGCTCGAACTGTTTAGGGTTTGGGTTTAGGGTGGCTTGCATCCAGGACCAGGGGACCTGATATAGGGGCCTTAATGATAGATTGAATTTCAACAAGATTTTGGTATGGCTGCAACGCGGGACTATACCAGCATGATATCAAAACACCATTGCCCAACTTACTCAGGGCTCTCTATTCCCAGACCCCTAAAGGCAAAGGTATCCCACCATTAGGGTTTAGGGTTTAGGGGATAAGATACTGTTGATAATATAAATCCTGCATTCCGAGACTATGGGCATTATGGTATATTTCTCATTATGGGTACTGCTGGATTTTTATCATCAACCGTAGGTCTGTCTTGGGGGATCCGGTTTGGGATCCTTCTGGGAGTCTGGGTGAATATAGGGGCCCTAAAAATCAAAATAGGGTTCTGGAGCCCATTATACTACAATTAAAATAAGGACGGACCCCCCCTCAAAAAAAATATAAATATTCATATATATATATATATATATATATATGGATTTATATATATATAGAGAGAGAGAGAGTAAATATAGGTAGTTATTAAGGCCCTATAGTAGGCAAGGGTGTCTGAGCCAGGGTGGTCCATGAAGAGTTCATGTTTCAAGCACACAGGGCAAAGGCATAAAACCCAAAGCACAAAACCCTTTACCCTAAACCCTGAACCCTAAGGTTCCCTACACCGTCTTAATCCTAAATGGCATGGTCAATTGTTCCAACTTTCTGGCCTCATTGGTGATTATATAGGGGCTACTATAGGGATCCATTCCCCCGTTCCCTACTAAGAAGCAGACAATAGAGTTCACCACCCGTGGGACTCCAAACCATCTGGGTTCTTGTTGTTTTTTAGTAACCTTACGTCTACCCAATAAGCCACAAAAATAGAGGTTACACTTCCCCATTCCTACTGAAATGTGAGAACCCAAAAAGTTTAAAGGTTAGGTATTGGGGATCTAGGTAACATAGCAGTTCGAGTACCCCGAGAAGAGCTATTTTTAGTACTTCTTATGGCTTCAAGACTTCTAGCCTACGGTAGCTTCAAGCTGGCCCCGGGGTTGTAATCGTTGTCAGGAATCTACAACTCGACCATGTGGCACGGAGAAGAAGTCCTATATGCATGTGCGCATAGATAGAGAGAGAGAGAGAGAGAGAGAGAGAGAGAGACACATGTATGTATATATATATATATATATATATATGTCAGATATATCTCTTCACGCTACAGCCTAAACCCTGCAAACAGATGGTGAAGGAAAACAGCCCTAGAACCTCAGGCCCCGAAACACTGCACCCCAGTTACAGGGACCCTTATAGATCCCTTTAAGGAGCCCTATAGATCCCTTTAAGGAACCCTATAGATCCCTTTAAGGAACCCTATAGATCCCCTGGAGCCCTTATAGATCCCAATAAAGGAGCCCATGAAACACCCCAGGGAGGCGCCTGGCTGCTTCACTCCTGCTGGAAGTTTGGCCTCGGTTCACTGGGCCGCTCTTTAACAAGGAGGGTTTAGGGTTTAGGGTTTAGGGCTTAGGGTTTAGGGTTTAGGGTTTAGGGCTTATACTACTTGAAAAGGCTCCTAAAAGGGATCTATAAGGGTTCCTTAACGGGATCTGCAGGGTCTAGGGCTTGCACTCGGAGGCTCATGGGACTTAGTAAGTAAGGTTATAAGTACCCGGGGTTATAAGAAATTGTCAGTATGGTTACCATATCTAAAAGTCCAATGACTAAGTCGCATGCTCCTCTAAGTAGGGTTTGCAGGGTTCCTTTAAAGGGATCTATACGGGTTCCTACAAAGGATCTTTAGGATTCAGGGTTTAGGGGTTTAGGCGTCTCGGCTCGAGTCGCGTCAGGCTAGTGTCCCCTCTAGGGGTTTCTTTGCCTCCGCGACATACCAGACCCCAGCTATTGCGTATAGCGGCGGCGTCGCCCTGGGTGGGCACGCCTTTGGTGCTCTCCAATTTTGGAAGCACCGGGAACAGCGAGTTCCCTCGCGCGGCTGGAGGCTGCGCTCCTCTGTGCCACGTGGTTCACTGCTTTTCAATAAGCTGACCCACTCGGCATATGAGCAAGGGGCTTACCTTGAGACCCCTGATCCCGCTCTTTCTACTCGGGATCCTTCTTATCTGGGTTGGTTCTGGAGAAGTACCAACATCAATATCTGTTTGGGAGCGTGGCCAGGACCGCCACGTTGGCAAAGGGCCGCCGCGCAGCGAGCCCACCTTGGCACCGCAGAGAGAGGCGGGCCAGGAGCAAGACTCGCCGGAAGATCCAAACCGGCAAAGCCAGCGCCCGAGAGATTGCCTGGCTATCATTACACCACGGCCACAAGATGGGGCCCAAGCAGGGTGCCAAGGACAAAGCCGGGAAAGGGTCGTGGCAAGCAGGAAGGTACCGCAGCTGCACAAGTCACGCGCATAGACTTTGGATTACCTCAGTCCGTGGTCGCGTCTTTACAGGCTATTGCTGCGCGCTCAACACAGGACCTTTGGTCCTCCCCCGCTGCTGCCGCTTCCGACCTCACCATCGAACAACAGCACTCGCGCCAAGCTTCCGCCTCTTACAAGTTGTCGAAGAGGATCGCAGGGAATTCCAAAGCGAAGGAGGACCTCGCGGTCGCGTTGGCGGAATGGGCCGGCACTATCGGCTTGCATCTTGCTGGGTTAATCCAACGTGTCAAGGCCCTCGGAGACAAGATCGACGAGGACCTTCGAGCAGCGTGCCAGGAGATGGAGACGACCCTAGCCGATCTTCCCTCTTCTACGACTGCAGAGCGCATACAGGCAGCGCATTCCAAACTGGGGCCTGTTTGGACGCCCCCTCAAGTCGACGAGATAGTCCGGATCGCATCGGCCCTACGTGCTTTCAGTGTAGTGCCCGGCGCGGCCACCAGCAGTGGAGACGGACACTCGGCTGTTTTGGGGACGTCCCTTGGACATACGTCAACAATCTCTACGCCGCTCCGGGAGTTCTCGGCTCTTTCCGGAGTACTGGGGACTTCACCGATCTCGGGAACCTCCGGCCCTCTGCTCGTGGCAGGGCCTGCGAGGAACCTGGAGAGCATGGATCCCTCTGCTTGGCCTGGTACGACTGGAGCAGAGGATGCAGGCAGGGACACAGGGGCCACGGGCTCACGCCAACGACGGTGGAAGAGGGGCAATGTTGCCCTTCCCCACCGCCCCAGCAAGAGCCCCCGGCGCGAAGAAAGTGGAGGTCCGCCTTCTGTAAGCGAGAGGTCCTTGGAGCCTCCACCGACACCTTGGTTGCGGGGAACCACCGGGCGCACGCCAGAGACGACCCACAGGCCTTCCTTCACCGAGGTGACCGACGACGTCGAGCTCTGGCCCGATCCAGCCCCAGAGGGACCGGTGTCTTGGCTAACGGCATGGCGTCGAGCTGCACAGTTCTGCTGCGCCCATGGCAGCGAGAAGATCGGGGAGGTGGCGGCCGATGTGGAACAGGACGCCATTTGGCCCCTGCATCTGGGAACGGAAGCAGCGGTCCTCAGCGCTCAAGCAGAAACAGAGGCCTTTTGGGCTGCGTTGCCACATGCCATTTCCGAGGCCACCGAGGTGACGTCAGCCGACCTGGTGGCGACCTGCCAGGACCTTCTCCAGAAGCTTCGTCTTTGCCCGAGTGCACTTCCCGGGACCCGACAAGGGGTGGTTGTTCTCATACAAGCTACGCTCGGCAATCTTATGCACTATCAGCAATATGGACCAGCTACCGCACAAGAGTGGCTTTACCCGTCTCTGTTGCTGGAGCACGGCGCGACTTGTCAAGGGATACTACCCACCCAGCTCGCAGAATGTATGCGGCCACTCTTGCGCATACCGGGGCCTCTTCTGAGCGGATCCATGCCGAGTGCAGACGGGGCGCTATGAGGCCTTCTTTGTACAGGACGCTGTACATAATCTGCGCCTTAGCTGTATATAGCAGTGTGATCGCAGTGCTTGTACAGCGGATAAGGTGGAGCAGCATCGCCCTTTGGGGCTTACACGCATCCTTGTTTCTTGGCGCCCTTTGCGTCGACTGTCGCACCGTGAGATCCAGGGTCTCTCGACGACCCCTACAGGAGGCGTCTTTAAAGGTCAGGCCCAGGAATCGGGATGCAGGCGTGTCGATGTGCAGTCTCTTTCCGTCTGGCACCAAGCAACGGCAGTATCGAGGCTTGTTCCTCATCTGGTTGACACTCACTCCCGGAGGCTCCGCTGTTCAAATCTACCCTGCTGGGAGCTGGCAAGGTCAGCCGATATATACCACAGGAACTGTGCCTGCAGCTGATAGTGTTCGCTCACTAGCCCCGGTTCGTCTCACGACACCTCCCTTGCATGAAGCCACACTTGCATGTCCAGCGCCGCCCTCACGGGATATTGGGGTCTACTGTACCGAATGCTCTCAGGCACCTATGCTCCTGCACGCCGATGACCGGGCGCATGGTCAGGTTTTGCATAGTGATGTTGCAACTGCATTGGGGATGCAGGCCCTGGATTGGGAGCTGAGGCGACTTGTTGAAAGACTCCCCGCCACGCCTTCTGAATGTTATGTCCTTTCCCCTCGGAACTTGCCCTGGTATCTGTGTCTTGTGCCTATCGATTTACGATCCTTCGGAGGTTCCATTTGTCTCATGCAAACACGTAGAGACCAGCCCTGCATTGAAGTTATCCGGAGATGTCTTGTCAATATAGGGCAGCCTGACACTCAACCAGTCCTTATCCGGACCGGGATCGGCCTGTTTCTACCTACCGCCTCGGTTCTGATGCTACCCGAGGTTGACGCCTTCCAGCTCTGGCCAGGACCAAACATTGTTAGCCCTATAGATGAGGTTGATTCCCTGCAACAGCCACCTTCTGTAGGCGACCGCTTCGCCTTGAGCCTCACGATGCCCCATGTAGCTGAATCGTCCTTTCATGAAGCAGCCGGCAGCAACGCCGTTGTGGTTTCGGAGACGGGGTTACTCTATGTAAAGGCACCATCCTTTGCTGACCATTTGACAATCAGGTCGGCTGTTCTGCAGGCCTTCCTGGATTATGGGGATGGCGATCCGAGGACGCCGCTGCACTTCACGAGGGTCCTCCCGCCGCTGAGTGATCTCCCTTCGGTGCAGTTTGTTGCATTGCGTTGCCGTGACGGGCTGCCGCCGGCGCTAGTCGATCTAAGGCCGATGGGAGGAGCACTGCACGTTTTTGGTTCTAGCCTTTACGACACCCCGGCCATGCGCATTCAAACTGCAGTTGCACGCCATGGCGACCCAGCAGCCAGACGCCCTCTCACCGCCCAGCTAGCGGCTGGCAGTGTTCAGGTCTTACATCGGGAAACTGTTGTTAATCCCTTCGTTGCGTTACAAGGGCAACCCCCTCTTCCTTTAGTGGTGGTAGCCCGTAGGACTAACGTTGCAGCCGGCTACACGGCCACTGAAGTGTTGGAGCCCTCACCCAGCTCCAGTGAGGAGGACCCTGACCACAGACCATCCCCAGCAGACGTGTCAGACTCAGCTCGATGCTCATGGAGCCCTTTTCTTCTGGCGTTTGGATGTTGCCGTTGGCGGTTAATAGGACTAGTCGTCTTGCTATTAGTGCCCCACAGCCTCGGTATGGTGCCCAGGTGTCAGGAAGGTGTACCGTGGCAGGTAGGTCCTGATGATGGCCTTGAGGAAGCAAACTCCTTGTTTCCTGCTCTTGCCAGTGTCCAGGACCATTCGCGCCTTGCCTCGAGGCTAGCCTTCCCAGACTCTCTGACCAGGCTCGCATGGCCTGATGCTGCCGGATTGCCAGGGCGGCATAGCCCTGTTTTCTGCCTTTCCGTTCTCAGCCCTGCCAGTGAGTTCCGTTTTTATCTGCGCGGCGACCGCCCGTTCTTTCAATTCAAGGAGCTTTTGCAGCAATGCGCAGGTCGACTTGGCCGAGGAGCCGCTGTGTTGGTATCACCGCCGCCCTTCATGCGGTGTGTGCAGTTCCTGGCTCCACCGCGCGGGAACTCGCACCATACCGTCCTCCTTGACACTGGCAGCCGCAGGCTTTGTGTCGATGTTCCTGTGCAAGATGCAGGACAAGCGGCTCTCTCCATTCTGCGTGTGCTGGAGCCGGAGCATAGCTTCCGTTTGGAGGTGCAACCAGGGAAGACCATTCGCAACGGGGACATCATCCTTGCACATGTTGATGGCGACAGTCGTCTTGTCGAAGTTGGTCCTGTGGCCATCCCCACTGGTTCGGGGGTTGTTGACTGGCTTTCCCTACACACGAATGTGTACATCACCTCTGCCGATCATCAGCTGCTGTGCATCCAAGCCCCACGTGACTTCACGGCCTCCTTTATTTTGCAAGCCCTGGCACGACGTTGGGGTGTTCCCCGATGCGAGGGAGTTACGCTACATAGGATTCCGCTTCGCCGTCCTCCGGTCGATCTGTTTTGTCTTCCCAGGCTTGGCAAGGGCACTCTTACTGCTGTGCTCACTGACATAGGAGATGCCGACGGACCGCCTGTTGTTTGCACCAGCGACGCTCGCGGAGCACGCCCGCCGTCATGCAATGCCCTACAGGATGATCCCGTGTATGGCGAGTTCTGGACAGAGGTGTTTCATAGAAACCCGGTGTTACTGCGCCAGTCCCTCATCCCCGCCCTGCAGGTTTCGTCCGGTTGCCCTTTGGCCTTTATCCATTTGGGTTTAGACTTAGGTAGGGCCCATGACTTTGGCCTTAATATTGGCTGGACCCAGGAGGTCCCGCAAATCACACTGCCTCCGGTTGGTCCTCACCGCGTGCTGGAACAGCCAGGTCACAATCAGGGGCGTAGTGTAGGTGTGCAAACGGTGCCGGCCGTCTGGCCCGCCGCGGCATCTCCTGTCTTCTCTGCGTCCTTGCCGTTACGGATACGGGCACAGGGTTGCTCTCCTGCCGAAGGTCTTCAACATAGTGGCACCCTTTTCCATCTGGATTGCCCACATATGGGTACGCATTGCACGATCCCTTGCCGGCATGGCTTCTCCCTATGGGCTGTCCGTGTTGGCCACTGGGTTTATGGGGCATGCACCGCCGAAGTGACGTGGCAGGATGTCGCCACTGCAGCCGGCTTCACCACTTGGGATCTCCCGGGCAGTAGCTTACATAGTGGGGACACTTCATGGACATGGCCAGCCGATCTGGCCTCCTTTGCTGGACAGTGCGGCCATCTCTTACAGGAAGGCCGTGATCCCTGCCTCACCCCCCGCTCATATGCATTTGAAGATGGTGACACCGAATCTACTGTTCCTCAGCAAGGGATCGCTCGGAGGTCATCAGCCGACAGTGGCGGACCTTCACGCTCTGCCCTGGCGCTGCTCGCCACGGGATGGTTAGGCCAACGTGGTCTTATTGCTGCTCTGTTGGCATGGGCTGCCATCCCAGCACACTCTGCCCGCAACCGTCGCCTCCCCTCGTCAGACTCAGACAGCGATGTTCCTGTTCTTGAAATCGATCTTCCAGAAGAGGCGGCGGTATGCTCTGCTTGGTGTCATGAACTCGCTTGCCGCCATACCCACTTTGCCACTACGGCAGAAGAGTTGCGCCGACATCTCTCCTCCCTGGCACCGCACGACACTTTTCAGGTGGCGGTCTGGACCCCGCTTGGGGGACCTACCCTCTTCGAAGCCCCCAAACAGGTGACACCAGGCCAATTCGCCTACTTGCTTGCTGCTGCCGGACATCGAGTGTCGGATCACAGACTTCACATCGCCTTCGATTCTCAGGCTATGGTCGCTGATGTTCTTTCCATACCTTTTGGTAGGTCCATCTGGTGGATAGTCCGAGACGGGCTGGCTCGGGAACTACTTCGCCCTGTCGCCTTCTGGTACGACGGCCAGGACAGAATCCCAGTTACGCTGAACTCTCATGGTCAGGCGTCCGGGCTCGTTGCCTCACCTGAAGTTGCGCATCTGAGTGCGCTACCTCAAGGCGCCCGGGCCTACGTCGGGGGGCCCCTCACCAGAGTGATTGGCCACCTCACCGCTGGCGGGCTTGTTCTCTCTGAAGTCATGATCGGCAGCACTGTGGCTGTCTCTGCTAATCGAGGTTCGGTTTCCCGGGCTGTCCGTTGCCTAGGGTTGTTTCTGTGTCTTGCTTTTAGCACGGCCATGCAGCTCGCCCCTAGTAACGCCAATAATTTGGTTGTGAGCAGCAACCCCACCCTTTCGCAATGGAGCCGCCCGCCGGTCCAACAGCCCTCTGTCATGCGCATTTGGACCCACACACTCCCCACTCCTCTTTCAGTGCCCTACCAAGCCAGTCCTGATCCCGTGCAGCTTGCCAGTTGGGTCTTCGATACCCGCCGAGGTGTTCCGGCGGAAGGGGACTTTGTATGGACGACGCCACGTGTCATTAAGGGAGTAGCTCACCTGCTCCACATCCCGTCTGGGGTGGCGCCGCCAACCCCCTTTTGGTTGTTGCATTACCGTGGCAAAGGCGCAGTTGTCGCGGTTCAGGCACCGGGCTTCGATTGGACTTTTATTGCTCAGCAGGCTCTCGAGGCTTTTGGGGGTGACTTCTTTGCTAAAGGTGCATTTGGGGTACAGCACTGCGGCCGAGTGTTTCCGTTCAACACACAGCTTCCAGTGCCTCCTCACGGGGCTGTCATTTCACTTGTCCGTATGACCCAGCCCAGTCATGTGGGCTTCTCGACGTGGGACACACCCCCGGAGGCCTGCTGGATCCCGCAGTTCGAATACGATATCTGCATGGGACCCCTCGGCGAGGCTACCTTGACCCTCCCCAGGGATACTCAGGAACGAAGAGATGATAGGGATGCCGGCTGTAACCCCGAGGTCAACATTGCGAGCCAGGCGGACCCCTCCGGCTTTGCCGTCCAGCTCGCACAGGTCACTAATAGGCTCCAGCATCTGACATCACGACTT